AAAGGACGCTGGAAGTCCCATCTGGACTGGGAGCTCTGAGTGGGGAGAGGAATGTGGAGAATTCCTAGTCTTCAGAGCATGGGCAGCTGGTGGGTCGAGCTTAGGTCTGAGCCCTTGGAGAGAAGACAGTGTCTGGAACAGTAGGCTTGGAGTAAATGCAGGTGCTGCAGGGAGGAACTGGGGGATCCTTCAGAGAGGAAGGTAGCCTTAGGGACAGACTGCCACCATTGGTCATTGTACACAGAACCCAGAGAGACCAAAGAGGCCCTAGCTAGTCCTCACAGCCTCTGCTGCTCAGGCTTACATCCTCATCTGGGCTGTGTGCTCAACTGGGGCCCCTGGAGCCAATCCCAATCTGTTTCCTTCTATTCTTTGAGAGGAAACTCCCAGAGAGCCAGCCCCCGCCCCCCCCCTCTCGCCCCAGCACTCCCTCTCTCTTCTCCACTATGGACAGAGAATACACTGAGGAGCCTGCCGGCTACACACCCAGCTGATATGGGGACCAATGGAGCCATGCGGCTGGGTTCAGCAATCCTTGGTTTACTTCTGCTCCAAGGTAAGAGGCACTTGCCGCTTTTCTCCAACACGCACCCCCCCCCCCCCCCCCATCCCCATCCAGGGCTCTGCCTGAAAGGGGGAAATTCCAGAACCTTTCCATAAACGGGATCAGCTGGCCTGGAGAATGGGAATTACCACCCTGGTAAAACAAATACTGTTAGGCTCAGTTACCATGTTTTCTAGGGGTCTCCCATACAGTCTGGCTCCCTGAAAGGTGGGAAGTGGTTGACTTGATGCATGACAGGATAGGGAAGATTCCTTCTAAGGGTATACAGACAGAAGAAGCCTGTGGCGTGCCTGTCAATACTCTTGGCTGGTCTGGTCACCACAGCCACTCCATAGAAGTTTCCAATACAAAATGGTCTGCACTGTGTACTTTACAGGTGATCTTCTCTTTTACTCTCTCCTGTGAAGAACCTGTGAATTTCAGATGCTGACTTTAATCTCAAAGCACAGAGAGAGGGCTTCTGATTAGACACAAAGGACTGTTTATCCGAGGAGGGTACACACAGCACAGAGAGGGCTGGATGAGACCCTCCAGTGAGCTGCCTGAAAGGACACCTCTCAGACATGGCTGACAGTCATAAGTGGGGCCTGGAGGTAGGATCCTCTAATTAGGGGCCATTGCTGGGAACCTGAGAAGTCCAGGACACTCTGACTCACAGGGCAGCACTTCCCTTTGTCACACCCCCAGCCCCAGTCCTTTGTGGAAGATTTAGGAGGCTATGCTCCAAGCACAGGAAATATGGCCGGTGTGCATAGGTGACAGGGTCTGTGTTCCAGAAAATGCTGCCTCCTGCCCCAGTGAGACATTTCTTTAGAAGCCCATGGGCTAGGGTCAATGCTGACACCACTCCCTGCCCATCAACTCCTATAGGATAGTCAGAGGTTAATTCTGGGGACTTCTGAGGGATTCCACAGGCCTAGCCATGTCACTCTAACTTGCCCAAGCTCTCCATCCAGGAGCTCACAGCACTTTTCTGCCTCACTTTGGCAATTGAGGAATTGTCTAGAGCAGATTCATGCTGACAGCAAGGCTTGACTATGGAGAGAGTCAGCCAGTCTTTAGATTTGGAGAAATCAAGAGAATTCGGCAAATTTTAAAATGTCTAGCACTGATTGAGCAAAGGCTGTTGGGAGCTATGTGTTTTATATGTATTTTCTTCCCTGCCCCAGCAATTTATGAATTTATGAGTCAGTCTTCTCTCTCTCTCTCTCGCTCACTCTCTCTCTCTCTCTCTCTCTCGTGTGTGTGTGTGTGTGTGTGTGTGTGTGTGTATAGTGTGATCCTGAGGATTCAACTAATTTAGGGCTTACACAGAATTATACCTCTAGCCTCTCAAAGAGTGAGTAAAGCCAGAACTTCAAATGCCCCCACCCCACTTTTTTTTTCTTTGTGGTGCTGGGGATTGATCCTAGGGTCTCATACAGGCTAGGTTCTGCCACTGGGCTACATCCCACTCAGGAAAACAGGGGTGTGAACAACATTAGATTGGAAGGGAATGAAGCAGGTAGGGATTAGGAAGTGGAGGTCAGGAAAATAGAAATTCCTGTGTCCATGGTTCTGTGGGTGTCTGTTGTCCCCTGGTCAGAAGCACTGGCCTTATAGAAATACACATTCCTCAAGTCCCTCCTCCACTCACAGAAGAGTCTCTATAGGTGACAAGTTGGGAGGAATGAGGTAGGAGGCAAAGAGAGTGCAGACCTTTAGGGCTTGATGCTTGTGCCTTGGGAACGCTTCAAAAACTTGATCATTTTCAGATAGGTTCAGAAAGACAGTTGCTTTCTGACTTCCACCCCTCCCAGAGCTAAGAGGATTCATAAGGCATGCTTGAACCAGAGTGATGGTGTTCAGACTTTGGATGGAAAGGGCTCACTCAGGCTCATCCCTTTCTAGAAAGGATTCTCTCTAGCTTGGGGTTCCTGTAACGTTTACTTTCTTCTGGAACCTCTACCCACAAAGGAACAGGGTTGTGGGAGATCTTGACCTGGAAAAACACATCTCAGGGTTGGGTAAGCTTTGGCTTAGAAGCAATTCCAAACTATCCAAGCGATAGCTCCATGGAGGAAGGTAGTGGCTTAGGGAAAATAAACAGACCAGCAGGCTGCCATAGCCTGGGGTGGGTCCCTGAAACCCAGCTGCCTCAGTCCATCCAGGGCCCGGGCCTGATACTTTGGTAATGATGAGAAGCCAAGAAACTAGAGCCAGCCAGCGGCCTCAGTCCCCAAGCGGTGAGGAGGGAGCAGTGAGCAGCGGCTCCAGATGGGCGGTTCCATTTCCCTGTGTTGTTTTCCTTTCACATTGTTCATAGTCTTCAAGAATGATTTCATTGTGGAAAGTGAGCAAATATAACCTGACCTCCCAGTCCCCGCCCACCCCCCATAACAGCATACACATATCTACGAAGAGGCCCTCAGTGACACGTGTGTACAAACAGAATAGCTAACAAGGGCTCCAACTATAGCTGCTGGGAACTACCTTCTCCTTAAGTTTGGCCAGAACAACCATTTCTTAACTTGTTCCTGTTTGTGAAAGTGAGCCAGCCACTCCTTTCAGCACTTCCTCTCCTCCTGGACATACCTCATACTTGTTTCCTGTTCAGGCCTCTGCCTCTGGTGGGGGAGGAGAGAGAGGGAGGAAGGGAGGGAGGGAAAGAGAGAGAGAGAGAGAGAGAGAGAGAGAGAGAG